AGGTCACGTCAGCTCGCCAGACAGAGAGAGACAGAGAGACAGAAAGCAAGAAATCACCCCTCAGGGGGGATAGCCACGCTGCAATCCCTTCCCCTCCACTTTCCTCTCGGGATCTTGGGCACGCACGCACACGCGCCCGGTGTGAGTTTAAGCCACTGGGTCTGGGATTCGAACTGCGGTCGACTACGTGGGAGTCCAGCGACATAGCCATTACACTAACTGCTAGTCCCAACCCAGAGTATTTTTCAAGCCTGCAAATCTGGGTCTGGAACTATGCTGTTGGCCATGTAAGATTTGGCTCCCTTAACCACTAGGCTACATGCCCAGCACCAAATGTGTTTCATATTTATTAAGGGGGTACTATAAACAAGACATCAGGCTAGATGCAAAAAGTGAGACAAAATGTATAAAGCGGAGCCACTACCTTCTGTAAGTTTATAATCTATATCAGGAAATGATAAAATGTTACACAGGGCAATATATTAGTAACACAACCATATTGTTATAAGAATTGAAATTGAGAAATAGTACCATTTCTGCTGGGAGTGATAAGGGAAGGATATATCAAGAATATAGATTAGGAATAGCTGGTGTTGTGAAAGTTAAGGCAGCTGGATCCCACATGTTCAACTGTGAGGTTGGAATCCTGTCTCTGTAGCTTAAAAAATACTACAGGCACATGTATGTGTGCTCAAAATCCTGAAGGGAGGAATGGAGGAGATTGCAATGTAACCATCACCCATGGTTGGGAGATGCCTTCTCACTTTCTCTCTCTCTCTCTCTCTCTCTCTCTCTCTCTCTCTCTCTCTCACAAGTGCATGGACTCTCTAGAAAATTTAAAAAAGAGGGACCAGCAGTTGGCATAATGGCTATGTCACTGGACTCCATGTAGTCAACTGTGGTTCGAGTCCCGGACCCGGTGGCTTAAACTCACACCAAGTGCGTGTGTGCGCGTGCATGATCAGATGGTAAGAGTCATCCTGGAAAAAAGGGAAAGAATGCTCAGGAACTTACCGGTGGGGTGTTTTAGTTAGATTTTATAGTATAAGTAGAGAGAAAACCATTTTTTCTTAGACAGATATCAAGCACTGACTTGATTCCAGGCACTGCCTACTATTGTACTCTAGAATTATGCAACAAATGTGGGCGCAAGTCATTCTAGTCCAAGATCACAGAAAGTGATGAAGCAGGAATCTGAATGTAACTAGTCTGACTCCACAGCCATTTAACTGCTCTACCAGTTCATATCTTAGCCAAGTTAAAAAGCTAGTTACTGGGACCAGCAGTTGGCATAGTGGCTACATCGCTGGACTCCCATGTAGTCAACCGCAGTTTGAATCCTAGACCCGATGGCTTAAACTCATGCTGGGCGCATGTATGTGCATGCCCGAGATTCCGAGAGGAGAATGGAGGAGAAAGGATTGTGGTGTGGCCATCCCCCCTGGGGGAGGATTTCTTGCTTTCTGTCTCTCTGTCTCTCTTTGTCTTTCTGGCGAGCGCATGTGCCATATAGAAGAAACCTAAAAAAAAAAAAAAAAGGCAGTTATTGGCTCGGCTACAGTAGTACATGCTGGTAGACACTGCTATTCAGCAGGCTGATGCCACATGGGAGGACTGGTTTAGATTCTCAGCTTACCCTAAAAACCAGATATGTTGAGGCACACCTGTAGTCCCAGCTACTTCAGGGCTGGCCTGTAGTCTCATGGTTGTGGGAGGCAGATTTCACGTAACCAGTCATGGTTGGAGTCCCACCCTGGAGACGTGAGGAACATGCTGGGTACATGTGTGGCTGTGTACAAAATCCCCAGATGAGAGGGAAATAGAGGAGAATCAATTGCAGTGCGACCACGCCCAATTGGAGGGGTGCTTTCTCTCTCTGTCTTTTTCTCTCTCTGGTGAGTATACTTACTCTCTGGCAATTAAGAGATAAAAAATGTAGTCCCAGTTTCTTGGGAGGCACAGGCATGAGAATCATGACATAGCGAGAGCCCATCTATTATTTTAAAAAAGAAAAAAAAAGAAAAGAATCAGTTACTTAAGAATAAAATTGGGGGGCCAGCAGATGGCATGGTGGTTACATCACTGGACTCCCACATGGTCAACCACAGTTCGAGTCCTGGAGCTGGTGGCTTGAAAATCACACTGTGTGCGTGTGTGAGCGTGCCCAAGATCCCAGAATAAGAATGAAGGAGAAGGGATTGTGGCATGGTCATTCCCCTGGTGGGGAGGGTGATTTTTCACTTTCCCTCTCACTATCTCTGTCTCTCCAGCAAGCACACACACCCTAAGGCAAAAACCTCTGAAAAAAAAAATGAAAGAAAGAAAAAGAAACAAATGGGTTAGCATAATACCTAAGAGGTGGAACTCCCACATGGCTGACAAAGGTTTAAGACCCAGATCCAGTGGCTTGGGCATGTGTGCATGTGTGCCCCAAAATCCTGAAAGTAGAATAGAGGGGAAGGGATTGCAGCATGGCTATTCCCCCTGAGGGGTAATTTTTTACTTTCCCTCTGTCTGTCTCTCTCTGCAAGTGTATGTGTCCAATGCAAAATCCTAAAAAAAAAAGAAAAGAAAAAGAAAGAAAAAAGACAGTGGGTCAGCAGGTGGCATGGTAGTTGGGGTACTGAACACCCACATAGCCAACCATGTCAAGTCCCAGACCTGACAGCTTGCTTTCTCACTTTCCTTTTCTCTCTTTCTCTCTGGTGAGCTCGCATGCCGTGTACTAAGTTAGATAATAATAATAATAATAATAATAACAGTAAATAAAATTAAATAAATAATTTTAAAAGACTTATTTTAACTTTATTTATTTATTTATTTCTAATTTGGCCAGAGAGGAACAGAGAGAAAGAGAGAGAAAGTAAAAAAGGCAAGCCACCAGGTCCAGGACTCAAGCTACAATCGGCTAGGTGGGAGTCCAGTATCCTTAACCACCATGCCTCTTGCTGGCCCCAAATAAATAATTCTTTTTTCTTTTTCTTTTTTTTTGAGAGATTTTCGCTATAGGGCGCGTGTGCTTGCCAGACAGACAGAGAGAGACATAGAGACAGAAAGCGAGAAATCACCCCCCAGGGGAGATAGCCACGCCACAATCCCTTCTCCTCCATTCTCCTCTTGGGATCTTGGGCATGCACGCACACGCGCCCAGCGTGAGTTTTAAGCCACCGGGTCCGGGACATGAACTGCGGTCGACTACATGGGAGTACAGCAACATAGCCATTACACTAACTGCTGGTTCCCCTTTTTTCTTTTTTAAAGAGATAAGAACTTCATTTTTTTAATTATTTTATTCAATTTCATTTATTCATTCATTTATTTTAATTTGACCAGAGAGACATAGGGACAGAAAAGTGAGAAAGCAAGCCACCAGCTCTGGGATTCAAACCATGGTTGGCCATGTGAGAATGTCCAGCGCCTTAACCACCACGCCACCTGCTGGTCCTCCCAAATAAATAATTCTTAACAGACAAAGGCAAAAAAACAAAAACAAAAGACTGGGCCTGGCCCCGTGGTGCAGTGGTGAAGCTCTGCGTATAGGGAGCCAGATCCCACACGGCCAAGCACAACTGCTACCCATGGCTTGAAAAACATGAGATTACATATGTGTGCATCCCCCAAATCCTGATGAGATGGAGAAATGGGAGAGAAAGGATTTCAGCAAGCCAGGGGGGAGGAGGGTACTTTCTCTTTCCGGTAAGTGCACCGGCCTTCTGGAAATGAAGAGGAAAAATATTTTTTTAAAGAAAATAAAAGCACCTAACTAAATATCTATTAACAGTTGAATGGTAAAAAACATGGTAGTAAATTCATATAACAGGATACGACATAGCAGTGAAAATAAATGTACTAAAGCTATGTAAGTCAGCAAGGAGGAATTTCAAATACTTTAATATTTAGCAGAAAAAGCTAATGTATGCAAAATGATTACATTAATATAAAGTCAAAACCAGACAAATTATACATTTTGTTTAGAAATATATAAATACTGCGGCTGGTAGGTGGCATTGTGGTTAAAGGGATTCCCACATGGCAGACTGTGGTTTGAGTCCTGGACCTGGTAGCTTGCTTTCTCACTTTCCCTTTCTCTGTCTCTGGTCAAATTGAAAATAATAACAACAATTGGAATTAAATAAAAATAATTCTTTAGAAACATATAAATACATTGTAAAACTAAAACAAAAGGCCGAAGAAAGAAAGATTAATATAAATTTCAGTATAGTAGCTTCCTCTCTAAAGGAGAAAAGAGATCCAGATTAGAGAGGGGCTCACAGAGTACTTCCAGAAACTGGTTATACTCATTCTTGTTAAACTAGATGCTGTTTATGAATTTTCTTTAAATTGTACACAGAAGTTAGATATAACTTATTTACACATAAATTTAACAGATTTCAGGCAAGCACAAGGACATTAGCATTAAAGAGAGAAATCAGGTTTTCTGAAGGGAGGTCAGGAATTGGATCTAATTTGAAAGAGAGTATTTCAGAATGAGGAGCTGGTACAAGCACAGAAACAGAAAAAGGGGAGCAGTAGGAAGGAAACAGAGAGTAGGTCTTTTTTGCAGTATGGTATTTGCTGGGAAGTATTGGTGAAGAATCATTAGGTCAAGTTGTGGCAGAATGTGGAGGTTCTTGGAAGCTGTCCTGATGGTTAGAAACCTACTATTGTAAACAATGAGGACTTTGTGTCAGTGTGGAATACTTAATGTTAGGCAACAAGAAATAATTATGGCTAACTCAAGTAAAAAGAAAAAGAAAAACATGGGGAGAGGGAACTGTAGGGGAAAAGCGGAGTAAAGGAGACAAGGAGGGAAACGGAAAGAGAATGAACAGTGGATTGATTGGATGGGTTACATAATCAAGTGATCAGTCCAGGAATCAGCAGCTGTGGTGATCTCAGTGGGACAAACTGATCCACCAGTTCTTTGCAGCACTCAGTTCTAACTACCTTGTATTCACTGTGACTCCACCCAAGATTCCAGTTCCCGGGAGAATCTGATTGGCCTAGCGCTGCTGTGGGCCATCTTTATGATAGGGTTTCTGTGCTTGCACTCACTAGAATTCAGGGAGCAGAAATCAGTTGGTAGTCGAAAGGAGCCTGAGTGAATTACGGAAAAAGCAAAAAACCAAAAAAAAACCACAGTATGCATTTCTCAGTAAACGTACTGTTGCTGTGCAAAACCAAAGGATTTATTCAAACTAATTAATTCAAGTGACACATTTCAACGTGTACTAATTTAGTTAAACCTCTTGCTTCAATAACTTCATCTCTAGAACTAACATTTTTCGTTTGAGGCGATCCTAAATTTGCCTCTATAACTGCTTTCCTCTCAGATTATAATTCCCAGATTGACACGCTTTGCTTCTGAGATAAAACTCAGATCAATCATCCGTGGCAGAAAAATTAGGATAATTGCTAGAAAATGATGAACTAAACATAACGAAACGATGATACTGCGACATAAGACCTAAGCAACCCCAACCCTTACAACCAACTCCTAGCTCTGGGATGGTTACCAAAGGCTGCCTCTCAGGCGATCTCAGGGACGCTGGACGGGGTCCATCGCCCACGTAAGCCGAACTGCACTCTGGGAACTGTAGTTTCGCGGGGAAGCGGCCGAGCGGCGGGCGCTGCACACGCGCACAGGAGCCCAGGTCAACAAAGACGGCAGCGTACGCGCGCGCGCACGCGCGCGCCGGAGAAAGACTCGAGAGGACGTGCGCGTGCGCGAACGCCGCTCGGAGGTAGCAGGCGGCTGAGAGGACAGAGGGCGGGGGTGCCCGAGCCTCCGACCGCAGGAGGAGGAAAAGGGGTTGTGCTCCTGGCCGGGGAAGGAGAAAGGGGCGGGGCCG